GTACAAAAAGGAAAGAGGCCTTTTGGCCCCCAAGTTCTGTAAGCAGGAAGCAGGCCGAGAAAACTACTTAGATGTAAACACATGCTACCTTTAATAGAAAAATGACTTACGGCGTAAAACCAAGAGCCTAGAGGGTGGAACAAAAATCCATGAAAAATTATTCCCAGGCCTTGAATGTGGAACTATAAACCTGTACCCAGTGACCTGCTATGGACCAGGGACTTCTGTGAACCTTCTGTATTTCTGACTATTGGAACAGGAGTGTCTGTAGTACCCTAACTTTTACATTGGTTGTTGTAGGAAGGAAGCATATAGCTTTTTTCTGTATGACTTCAAATTGAGAGGTACTGTACTCAAGTGGCTGAATATAAGGAAATATATCCAAAAAGCTTTGTCTGCCCCAAGACCTATTTAGAGGACAAGACTCTGAATTTTGAGTGAATGCTATTATGAGTTAAGACTCTGGGGTCTTGGGAGGGGTGAGTGCATTTTGCGTATGGGAGGACTATAAATAATTTGTCACCAGAGGGTGGACTGTGGCCGTTTTAAAATATGTCCACAAATTCTTTGGTGTATTAGTTCCTTCTTGTTACTGTAACAAATTACCACAAGCTTAGTGGCTTAAACAACAATTTATGAACTTACATTTCTGGAGATCTGAAGTTCAAAATTGGTCTTACAGGGCTAAAATCAAAGGCTGCTTTCCTGAAGGCTCTAGAGGAAAATCTATTCCTTACCTTTTTCAGCTTCAGGAGCTATATGCATTTCTTGACGCATGGCCACCTCATTCTGACCTGTTCCCATCATTACATTTTCTACTCTCATTCTGACCCTTTACCTTCCTCTTATAAAAACCTTTATGATATTAAGGCTACCCAGATAATCCATGAGATTTCCCTGTTTCTGTCCTTAATCACACCAACAAAATCCTTTATTCCATGCAAGATAACATATTCACTGGTTCTAGGGATTAGGACGTGGATATCCTTGGGACGGGGGTGGGCAGGGGCAACAATTCTATCTACTTCAATGCTTGTTATCTTCAAAAGATGGCATCGAGTCTACTCTTCTTGAATGTGGGCTGGATATAGAAGACTACTTACAATGAATAGAGTATGGCAGAAGTGATAATATGACACAAAACTAAGTCATGGGGGCACCTGGGTGGCTCAGTCGGTTGGGTGTCCAGCTCTTGATTTCAGCTCAGGCCATGATCTCAGGGTCCTGAGACCAAGCCCTGCATCTGGCTCCATGCTTAGTGGGGAGTCTGCTTGAGATTCTCTCTCCCTCTCTGTCTGCCCCTCCCCTGCTCATGCTCACTTGCACACTCTCTCTCTCTCTCAAATAAATCTTTAAAAACAAAAAACTAAGTTATAGGGGTGCAGTAGGTTAAAGGACTGACTCTTGGTTTCGGCTCAGGTCATGATCTCAGGGTCATGAGATCAAGCCCTATGTCAGGCTCTGTGCTCCACACAAAGTCTCCTTAAGACTCTCTTTCCCTCTCCCCCTACCCCTCTCTGCCATTCTCTCTCTCTCTCAAATAAATAAATAAATCTTAAAAAAAAAAAAAAAAACCTAAGTCATAAAAGACATTGCAGCTTCCTCCTTGCTCTCTCTTGGATTACCCACCTAGGGAGAAGCTAGCTGACATGCCACAGAAACTGCAAGATAGTGTTTGCTATTTTAAGCTAATAAATTGTGGGGTAATTTGTTATGTAGCAATAGATAACTACTATAATCCCTTAGGTCACATCCTGATCCATGATGTCTGCTTAAATTCTAGCTATTATCTCTACATTCCAGCCTTCCTGAAGAAGGGGAGAAGAAAGGTATGCTCCCTCCCTTAAGTAGCATTTACTGGAAGTTGTATGCACCTCTTTCATTTACATCTCACTTCTTTGAGATGGACATGGCACACCTAGCTGCAGGGGAGGCTAGGAAACAGGATTTATTCTGGACAGCCATGTGTCCAACTGAAAATCAGGAGTTCTAATATTATGTGAGAAGGGGAAAACGGGGGGGAAATTAGCAACCTCTGTCACAAAGGGTGATTATAAGAGTCGGGAAAAGCAAAGTCTAGCATACGTCCATCAACATTTTTCCTTTTTCTTAACAAAGTAGTTTCATTGGCCACCAAATGCTATTTACACACCCAGCACTCTGCTCTCTCCAAAGATTCATGCCAATTGTGTATGAGTCACAGGAAAACCCAACTAATATATTACGTAAACCACAATGAATAGTGAAATTTTTTTTCTTACAAAGTTCTTTTCAGGGACAATAATAAAGAATAATTTACTGGGGGGCGCCTGGGTGGCTCAGTAGTTCAGCATCTGCCTTCGGCTCAGGTCATGGTCCCAGGGTCCTGGGATCGAGTCCCACATCAGGCTCCCTGTTCGGCGGGAAGCCTGCTTCTCCCTCTCCCACTCCCTCTGCTTGTGTTCTCTCTCTCACTATGTCTCTGTCAAATAAATAAATAAAATCTTAAAAAATAATAATAATTTACTGGGGAGATTTTGCTTAAAGGCTCTTAAATTTCCTAAATGTTGATTTCTAGATTTATATTCTACAAGCATGCTTTGATGCATTGTCAGAAAATACACAGCTGATGGAAATTGTTTCCTCTGTGTAAGAGATTGGAGAGACCTCACTATGACAGCAGTTGCAGGGAACACAATCATGTTCCTGACAATTTTCTTTTCACATACTAACCATTCTTGGGTAGCCACATTAAGTGGGCTTTTAAATTTTTATTTAACCATATAGTTAACCCCCAGAGGATCACAGGGAAAGAGAGGAAAAAAATAAAACAAGACAAAACCAGAGAGGGAAACAAACTGAGGGTTGCTGGAGGGGAGGGGGTGGGGGAAATGGGGTAACTGGGTGATGGACATTAAGGAGGGCACGTTATTTAATAAGCACTGGATATTATATAAGATGATGAATCACAGACCTGTACCTCTGAAACCAATAATACATTATATGTTAATTAATTGAACTCATTAAAAAACAGGATAAAATAAGACTTTTAAGTAGAAAAAAAAAACTATAGTTAACCCCTATCACAAGGATTTAAAACTACTTCCTTGTATGCTTCAGTCAAACTACAAAAAATTAGAAATATGTATTTCCAGAAATATATTACAAAGCCAAATAGAAATTATTTTTCAACAAGTATTAAATGGCTTCCTTGCAAAGCATATGCTATTGTTTCCTTACATCAGTGTGAAAAATGAGTGCACTGTGGCTCCTACTATAGAGTTCAGACTACAGAGGCCAAGAGTTGGGGGATTACTAATGTGATTTGACATACAGATTTTTATTTCATTTTCACAGAAAGTCCTCCATTTTCTTTTTTTTTTTTTTTAATTTTATTTATTTATTTGACAGAGAAAGACACAGCGAGAGAGGGAACACAAGCAGGGGGAGTGGGAGAGGGAAAAGCAGGCTCCCCGTGGAGCAGGGAGCCCGATGTGGGGCTCGATCCCAGGACCCTGGGAATCATGACCTGAGCCGGAGGCAGACGCTTAACGACTGAGCCACCCAGGCGCCCCGAAAGTCCTCCATTTTCATCCAGACATTTAGTCATCAGTCGCCATGACATAAATAAAACACAGTGACTCTTACAAAATTTCACCATAAAAGGACTCAGTCTATGTTCACGTAATCTTTTTATGATGTCATGCACTATAATGTGTTTTTAAAAATGTACATTATGTAAGGAATGCAAGACTTAAAGGCAAAGATTATGAGTGTCCTGTAAAGTAACTTCAATCCCACACTGTCGAGGCTCAGTACATTTTAAATAGCAAAGTGAAGTTACAAATTCTAAAGTCTTATCCTATAGAATGATAGTGCAAATAATGAAGATATTGATCCCATCCCCTGTAAGTAAAAGTTCTTCTTAGATGCCTGCCAAGGATCCTGTTAGTTGTTGTTTTTCCCTGTGATTTTGACCTATTACTTCTTTTAGTTTTTCATGGGAATTGGTGGCTGACAGTGAACCCAAGAATTAACTTAAAAAGTTAATTTTGATCACTTAACTTGGAAAATGGATCAAAAGTAGATTTTCATTTTATGTGGGTAGATACTTGGTTTTCTTAATCTACCAGCCAAGCTCTGTTCATAATTTTTAGTAACTGAACTGACTTACTGCAAACTTATTAAGCCAGAAGGATAGGTATGTGACTCTTTATGTCAGTGGTTCTTTTTTTTTTTTTTTAAGATTTTATTTATTTATTTGACAGAGAGAGACACAGCGAGAGAGGGAACACAAGCAGGGAGAGTGGGAGAGGAAGAAGCAGTCTTCCTACGGAGCAGGGAGCCCGATGCGGGGCTCGATCCCAGGATCCTGGGATCATGACCTGAGCCGGAGGCAGACGCTTAACGACTGAGCCACCCAGGCGCCCCAATGTCAGTGGTTCTTAGACTGGAGTATGCCACAGAATCACCAGGAAGGCTTAAAGAGAATGCTGGGCCCCACTCTCAGGTTTTCTGAGTTAGTAGTTCTGGGGTGTGGCCTTTGCATTTTCATTACCAACAATGTTAGTAAACTAAAAATTCCCATATGATACAGAGGCTGCTGGTCCTGGGACCACACTCTGAGACCTAACTCCTTAAATAAAAGTTGGGCATTTAAATGATCCTGGAAATAATTTGCCATTAAGCCTTTATTGTACCGATTTATGCCTCCTGCAAACAAAACCGGAGCTAAACTGACAGTCTGTTCTATTGAGGTTGCACAAGTTCTAAAAAATCCCCAATTAAAAGCAAAACAACTCTAACTCTTAGAGCGTAATAACCTACTGACTTTGAAAATGTTATTAAAGTCTAAAGAAAAACTCTGGACCGAACTTCAGTTCCCATAGCAGTCATCCTTCAGTTACATTTGGAAACATGCTTGTTCTAAAATAATCATTTTTGAGGCAATGACACTTACTCTTTTCACCCAAAGAAAACAGAAAGTACAACACAGGAAGAACTGGGCAGCCTTAGGTCAATTCGTTTTGGAAAGCACATTTAATTCACTGTTGCACAACTCAAACAGAGGGGGTGGTTGGGAAGTCAGGAAGGCACCTAAGTCATTTCAACCAGGAATACTTAACAAAGAGAAGTATCTTGAAATCATGGGTGGTCTAAGAATATCTGAGAGGTAAAGAACTGACTCCTTATGTGACAACTTGTCAGGAATGTTCAAAGCTTCCCGTTACTGTCCACAGACCCTGAGATTGAACATAAATTATCTCCAGATGAGCTGAGCATGAATAACCTTTTGGGGCCGTGCCAATGCCAAAATACTATTTAGATGTTCACCCTACATGAGGCCAGAACTGACTGCACTTCGTTATCTCGTGAACAGGTTCCCCCACATACAGACAAAGGCTTAGAAGCCTTGTTCCAGAAGCTCAGACAAGAGTCCTACCATTTTTTTTTTAATCTTTTAAATATGTTCTTCCTCCTTTGATACAATTTCTTCACATAAACCATCTTATCTAAAGAAAATATCCAACTACTACTCTAATGGACTCTTGTCTCAGTAGGCAAAAGGTATAGTTAGGTTTGAAACTTCTTGGATTCAACCCTCGACTGTACCCTTCAGTAAAGGGTAATCCATGGATGAGACAAGGCTCAGTCATTTGCCCCATTCCTAATTCCAAAAGCTTATTCTCAATGTTAGCCCACAGATACAGAATACATATTTCAGCTACTTTTATAGATGCCTTTTCCTTATACATGGATGCAAATGTGTGCAAAGTGAAATAAGAAATAATAAGCTAAGTGGAGCTTGAGTGCTACATCAGGAGATGTAACTGCTAACAAATGTCGGGGAAGGGGTTCTGAGAGAGAATAGAATGAGGCTCTTTTGTTGAGAAAGGTGATGTGGAATGACATCTGCTCTTGCCAAAGCCAGGTCTCTCAGGTCTCCCAACTAAAACAACAACCAGTAACATCTCACAGAATCTTAACTCCATGCTCGATGCCACGGGAAGTCCCAGCATCTTAGAATATCAACACCGAAACAGACCTTCTAGAGTGACTGGTCCAAACCTATCATTTTCCAGAGTAGAAAATTGAGCCCCAAGGAGAAGAGACTCGCCTTAATTAAGGTTAAAGATTCCTTAGCTGCAACACTGAGGCCAGGACTTAGATTTTCTGATCATCAGACCACTCTCTATAGGTCCTTCCCTTTTTCTTGATGGAATGGGGGTAAGGGTGGTGAGACTAAGGTAAATACCAACAGAGCAAACAGCTATGGCTAGGAAAAAAGAACAGCCTGTATCCCACCTCCTCAGAAAAGGCCCAGCATGCCCCTGGGTCCATCCCCACAGGCTTCCAGGATGAGCGAGCCCTTACAGACCCAGTGACAGAGCAGCAACTGCCTATGAATGACGGCAAGTGGGAGGGTCTGTATCCAGTCCAAGTCTGTGTGGGTTTGTTTGTTTTTTTAACACTCTTCTTCCTCACCACCAAATAAAGTTACAAATATAATGCAAGTGTGATTATATACATACTCCTTTAGATTAAGCAAGCCTCATCATGGTTTCAGGTGACCCAATGAGAAAAATAAAATAAAATTGCACTTCTGGCCTCTCGGATTAAAGACTGAGTTAAAATGAGGCTGCCCAGCCCACAGGAGAATAGGCCACACACGCCAATACAACTGACCCAGCATTCCAAATGTGGCATTTATGCCCAGCAGACTCAGAGAGCCATGGGAACGATTCCTTCACCCAAGGACAGCCAAGAGGTAGATAAATGCAATCAGCCGCATGGATGGATGGATGTAGCACACAGAAGCACCAGGTTGGGTGTGTGCAGGTGCCCTGGACCAGGGGCGGAGGGCCTGAAGGGTGGGGCCAGACCTCTGGCTCTAATCACAGCACTCTCCCTGGGAGGAAAAGTGTTTGGTCATGAAAGAAATCCCCAGGATGTAGCAAATGTCTACAGCAGTGGGAGTGTGGAAGTAGAAGGTAAAGAAGCAATGCTGGTCTAAGGGTGACACACTTCTTCTAAAGGAACTTCTAGCGTGGAGCTGCCGATGAGACAAATATGAAGGGTGATGATGATGAACTGGGGGACCGTGGCACATTCATCCAGGCCATGCATGACCCCTGAGTGGCCCTACCATCCTCACTCCCCACTGAGCAAGATTTCTCCTTCAGCCTGAGGGAAGGGAAAGGAGATAAAGGCCCAGATGACACAAGGCTGCCAAGCCCAGCAGTTGCTATCAGAGCTGCTGAGCGTCAGGCCCAAGAACCATGAACTCATAGTAGAGTCAAGGTCCCTTTCTCTGGAATGAGAGGCTCAGCCCTGCCCTCCTCTTCAGGAAGAAATGGCCAGAAAAGGAAAGCTGGCTTCTCACTGAGGTAATGTAGAACACCTGCTCAGCTGTGTCGGTCACCCTCAGGTTAAGCAGGAAGAATCCCTGAAGGAGGCATTCTGTGGATGGCTGAGGAGCTCCGCTTACCTAGGACATACCACAAGTTTGAAATTACACATTCCCCCACACGCAGCACACTCACATGGACACACGCACAGAGACCCACACTTCCACAGACTGATGTTCTTCCAAACCACCCCACGCCCAGCCCCCAATCCCGCCCCACCGATATCGTTCCCTGTAAACATGACAGCAGAGATGTCCACAATTCTGGGACAGCCTGATAGTGATCTGAGGATGACTCCTTGTCATTAAGTGCCGCGGTAGGTGATGTTGGTGAAGGTGGATGTGGCCTCTTTGAACAGTGGGTTGTTGGCCTATGGAGAGAACAGAGAAGCAGTGAATTCCTCACCTCTCCCCTTCCCTCAAGGATTACATTTCGTCTGAAAAGTCTACCCAAGACACCCTTCTCTGGGATATACCATTGATGAACCACTTAATGCTCATTGTACCCCATATTCACCCTTAAGATGGGAATGGATAGGAAATAAGAGCAGAGGGAAGATGGAAAGCCATCCTACTGCTATTTCTAAGGGGCTGAATCCAGCCCATTACTTTTTGGGGGATCACCAAACATTTCAGGATCTCTTTTTGCCAGTATTGATTTCTTGCCTCTCTCCTGAACTCTCTCTTTTGCCCTTCTCCCTATTTTTCCTTCCTTGTGACCATGCTGGGGGAAGTGGGCAGAGATGGGAAATGTAGCAGGTGGTAGCTGAAACCGAGAGGACAGCTTTTGCTCAAAATAATTTTAATTTGTTCTCATCTCATCCCTCCAAGCACTACCCACAAATTGTCATGTTAGCAAGAAAAAATAAACCCTCACTGGGTTTCCCAAACTCTTTTCTTTTCTCTTCTTTTTTTTAAGATTTATTCACTTATTTGGAGGGGGTGGGGCAGAGAGAGAGAATCTCAAGTCTCCCCCTGGACATGCATGGAGTCAAACAGCCATTTGGAAGGTCCAGAAAAAAGTTAAAATGTGGAAGATGAACCAAAGAAGAACAGAGTAAAATTAAGTATACAGAAAGTTCTCAGTAGATGATTGTTTCATTTAATTCTATCAGGATAAACTACAGGGAGGATATTTTTTTAAGATTTTACTTATTTATTTGACAGAGAGAGACACAGCGAGAGAGGGAACACAAGCAGGGGGAGTGGGAGAGGGAGAAGCAGACTCCCTGCTGAGCAGGGAGCCAATGAGGGGCTCGATCCCAGTACCCTGGGATAATGACCTGAGCTGAAGGCAGACACCTAACTGACTGAGCTACCCAGGCACCCCAAGGATATTTTTTAAGAGGCTGGCCCAAAAAGTAATTCCTATCATAACTTAATTCCCTCCCACAATCGGGCAAGCTGCTTAAGCTCTCTGTGCTGTTTCCTTACCTATAAAATGGGAAAAATAATGCTGCCTCCTATCTAGGGCTGTTACAGGGATGGAAGAAGTTAATACCTAAAAATCATTTAGAACAGTTCCTAGTATATGGTGAATCCTCAGCAAAAGTTAGCTCTTTTTTTTTAATTTTCTGTTTGTGTTTAATGCTTTGGACTTCATCAGGATATAATGTATTATATGTTCTCAGTGTAGAATTCTCAAGTTTGTCCTATCTTCTTCAACTGGAGAAGTCTCTTTTTCATTGCATCAGTGTCCAGAGCAGAGCTGGGCCCTACCTGTGTTCAGTCAGTACTCACTGACATGACTAGTTGTCACTATATGGTAGAGAGAGAATCGGGTGGGGTTTCCAGGTATAATAAGGACAATGGGACCATCTCCTAATTTCCAGAACAGAGGCTAACAGGGAAATTATGGGCTAGCTGAACCTGGCCACCCTATGCATCTGCAGCTTCCATTTGAGGCTCTCAAACCAATGACTTGAGAAAATGCCGAGCCCAGCCTCTTACCGTGTCCCATTTTGCTCTGGCTCTCTCTTCCTCAAATTTAGCAAACTCCTTCCGGTCATGGATGGTGATGAGGAGCTTCCAGATGAGCAGAGTAGCAAGGCCAATGAGCAAAATGGCCCCCATCACTGAAAGCAGGACCACCAGGATGTCAGGACCCTTGGGACACTCTGTCAGGAGAGAGCACAGAGCAGAGAGGTTGTGAATGTAGCAGGAATCACTTAAACTGGTTATGAATAGATCTTCCTGACCAAGAAAGAAATTACTAGAAAGTTCTCTAAAGGAAACAGGACTTAGGAAATACAACTAATTTTTTAAAGGAAGGGGTGTCAATCTTTAAGACAGCAGTAATCTGTTCTGAGTGGTTTAAGTCAGAGGTCATAAACAGGTCACCCATGGCAGAATCAAACCTATGTAAGTGTTCATTAAAAATCTGATTTTATGTTAACTACACCGGAGTTAAAAATAAAAACTTAATAAAAAATTTTGATTTTGTTGGCAACATTGAATAATCAGGAGATTATCCCCCTGAAATTTCAGATTCTTCTTTTTCTCTTTAGGAAAAAAAAAATCAAAAGGTCTGGAAACACTGAACCCACAGGGCAGCCCTGGTGAGATGTGAGGAGCAGCTGTCCCCATTGGATGGGACACATTTTCTAGTTTGCCAGAATTCTCACCATCCTCTTTTCTCCACTAAACAGAGGCAACAGGTAACTTATTGAGGCCATGCTACCTTGCGCTCTGGAGTTAGCCTGCCTGGGTTCGAATCCTGGCTTACCACTTACTTTGCTATGGGACCTTTGATAAATTATTTCACCTTTCTGGGTGTCTGTTTCCTATTTCTCCATACATTTAAAGAACTCAGAAGACTGCCTGGCACAAACTCAGTGCTCAATAAATATCAGCTACTGTTATTACTGGCCTTCCTGTTATATCTGACTGTTTTCACTAAGTTATGTACCTAGCTCCTGTAGGCATTTGTGTTTGTTACCCTGATTTAGGTATGTACATCCCTGAGGGCTGGATACCTAATGACCTTGTTAGCATACTTAGAGACCAGGAGGCCTGCCAACCAAGAGAATATTTTGGGCTCCTTCCCAAAATATTTCATCATCTAAAATCTTAACCCTATTGAGAGCTGACTTCCTGTTCAAACCCAGTCAACAACCAACACAGACAGAGGTGCGTCACCCTTCTGAGGGCCGAGCTGAGTGTGCTCCATGGAGCTCTGCTTCCCATAAACCACAGGTGTCTGATGGGTGACCTCACTCCAGTGACTTCTCAGGTGTTAATGTAATTAGGTATTTGGATATATGAGTATTGATGGGTGTGGAGAGGAGGTCACACCCACTTTCCACACTGTCTCCCACCTTCTTCTCTAAACATATACTCTGTGCTCACCACACATGACCCAAAAACAACCACCAACACAAACCCAAGCTGGCTCTTTCCCAAGCCACCAAATTACAACCTGTCTATAATTAAAGAAGCATCTGGAGAGAGGCTCTGAGGTCCCAGTGTCTGAGTTCCCAGGAGTGAAGGGTCCCAGTTCTTCTGGGAAAAACAATTACAAATTCTCTGGAAGATAGGGCTGACCCTCAAACCTCAAAGTAAAATCTCTTCAATTCTGTATGCCAGTATGGACAGGACAGGTAGAATGTCAAGAGATCTTCAGGGAAAAGCATCTGTTAAGCAATTGTCCTTAAGGAGGTGGATGGCAGGCTTCCTGGAAGCAGAGGACAAGATCAGGTGGTCTCTAGAAAGCTCTCCTAGCCACAGTGATGAGGACCCATGGTGGGGACCTGAGGTCAAGAAAGATTGGGTAGGACTAGCAGATTATACAAAAGTATAGGAAGTCCAGTTAAATGTGAATTTCAGATAAACAATGAATAACTTTCTAGCCTAAGTATGTACTAAATATTGCATGGGATATACTGTATTTTCCAGGAAACCCTATGTGAGAGTGATGAGGACCCAGCTCAGGGGATCCCACTCTATGCAGGCTGAACACCACCCAGCCAATGCCAAGCCCTTTGGTAGTGCTCTCTCTGCTGCCCTGAAATGGTCCAGCCCTTCAGGGAGAGCATCTACAAGGGCATGAGTTAAAGAAGAGAATGGGAATAATCTTCTATACTCCAGGACCTCAAGTGCTACATTCTGCTTGAAGCCAGAGCACCTGAAAATGGTTGGAGGTGGTGGGTGAGAGGAGAGGCAGAACTTGGAATTCCAGGGCAACAAGGTATTAAATGTAGGTCTGGGATCCCATTTCCCAAGGTGGAGGAAGGGGTCCACATCAGAAAAGTTACCCCCCATCCAGGGGTTATTTGTACCAGCTCAGGTTATCACCATCTTTATTCCCCACAACTCCAGGTAAGGAGATCCAGTCAAGAACATCAAGCCAAAAGATTTTGGTAAGTGATATAGCAGAAGCATCAGTAAGGATTATTGCAGCAAAGACGTAAAGTAATGTTAAACCCAAAAGCAAGAACATACCGCCCTTCTGAAAGGAGAAAGGACAAAGGTACAGATATGGTGGGTATAGAAAAATCCATGAAATGTGTTAATACAGGTAGATGGGAAAGTGTGGGGGGTCACGGCCAAATAATCCACAGATACATATCCAGACTCTTCCCTTTCCCCTTCCCATGTTAGCTTTCCCTTGAGTCAATAAAGAAAATGAAGGCCATACCCTTTCTTTTTTTTTTAAAGATTTTTTATTTATTTCTTTGACAGAGAGAGACACAGCGAGAGAGGGAACACAAGCAGGGGGAGTGGGAGAGAGAGAAGCAGGCTCCCCACAGAGCAGGGAGCCCAACGCGGGGCTTGATCCCAGGACCCTGAGATCATGACCTGAGCCAAAGACAGACGCTCAACGACTGAGCCACCCAGGCGCCCCCATACCCTTTCTTTACCACCCTTCTTCCTTCTAAAGGTGAGAGCCCTGGGCAAGGCTGGTGAACAATATCACAGATGGGGCACCATGCTTTCCTCTACCCATGGAGCCAGCAACACCCTGGCTGACACAGGTGTAGCAGAGCTTCTTCCCCCTTTTGCCCCCTTCCTTCTCCAAGCAGCCCAAATTCTCCTAGCAGGTATCAAGAGGTATACAAGCCTGCCTGTCTCCTAGGAATAATCAGTCCTATGAATTCACTCAAAAACCATTTATCAAGTATCTTCTTTGTAGATGACTGAGCCAAGTATGGATATAACAATAGATAAGACAGTCCCTGTGTTCACGGAGCTTGTGATCTACTGAGAGAGATGGGTGATGAAAGAGGCAATTTAATGGTGTGATGAAGGCGCTTCTAAGGGAAGCACAGCTGCTCTGAGCCCCCAACCGAATCAGCAGCATGGATGCCAGAGGAGGTCTGAGAAGGCTCATTAGGGGAAGTGATGTATCCAAAACAGAGGCACTCAAATATTGGGGTGTTTCACACTTGCTGGGAGCACTAATCAAGAACACAGAGGCAGGCGCCTGGGTGGCTCAGTTGGTTAAGCGACTGCCTTCGGCTCAGGTCATGATCCTGGAGTCCCTGGATCGAGTCCCGCATCGGGCTCCCTGCTCGGCAGGGAGTCTGCTTTGCCCTCCGACCCTATCCCCTCTCATGTGTTCTCTCTCATTCTCTCTCTCTCAAATAAATAAATAAATAAAATCTTAAAAAAAAAAAAAAAAGAACACAGAGGCTCATGGAAGTAGGATGGGGCTCAGGACTCTGGGTTCTTTTTAACAAGGGGGAACATACAAAAGTTTGAGACCCACTTTTCTAAAGCAGGGACTGCAAACTATGGTCTGGGAGCCAAATGTGGCTTGCCATCTGTTTTTGTAAATATGCTTAGGCTCATACATTAAATAGATGCTGCTTTCCTGTTACAACGGCAGAGTAGTCATGGCAGAGATCACATGGCCCACAAAGCCTAAAATATTTAACATCTGGCCCTTTGCAGAAAGAGTTTGCTGGACCCTGGTCTGAAGGAAGATCTGAAGGAATTCCTACAGCTGTTAAGAATGTCAAGCAACCAACTGACTTTGTCTCTGCCTTCAGACATTGTTCCTTCATTCCCAAAAGTTCCTATCTAACCCCTGCCATAACATAGTCCTTGTCCCTCAGCAGTGTCATTATTGATTTACATGCACCTCTCCCCTGGCCTGTGAGTGCCACATCTGCTTTATCTATTGTGATACTCCCAGCACTGAGTCCACTGCCTGATATATAGTAAGTACTCGAAAATATTTTCTAATTATTCATAGCTTAGTCTGTTGTTTAAGAGAAAGGAAGGAGACAGAGGTAGTAAGGGGAAGCAAGCAAATCTACTGTGGTTAGATGGTGACAAGCCTGTAGTTGGTCTGTGTGTATGACAGATGGGCTCCTCCTGCTTCCAGAGGGCCTTGAGAGCAAGCACCCTCTTTTCAGTGTTCAGGGCACCTTGGGTGGGTGCCTCAAACCCAGCACCATGTCTCATGGTCAACTTGGTAAGGTCAACACCTCAAAGCATCAGGCCTTCCTCTGAAGCAGCAAGCAGGTTGCTCTTGGCAACCACCTAACTTTTAGTAAAGCAGATGCTGAACAGTCCTAGACTTTAAATTCCTTACTTCTTAACATTGTCATCTCAAAAAATGCCATAATATATTTTGTCCCTTCATGGGATCCATATCTACCTTCTTTTTTTTTTTTTAAGGTTTTATTTATTTATTTTAGAGAGAGAGAGAGCATGACTGGATGGAGGGGGAGAGGGAGAGGGAGAGAGAGAATCTTAAACAGACTCCACACTGAGTGCAGAGCTCGACGTGGGCTCAATCCCATGACCCTGAAATCATGACTTGAGCCAAAATCAAGTCCGCCATTTAACCAACTGAGTTACCCAGGCGCCCCCCTCTACCTTCTTCCTTTCCTTACCCACCTTCTTATTTTTCTATCTCCTCAATTAGCAAAGTCGCTTTCTCACTAATATATGTATTTAAATATCACCCATACTCCAATGACAGGCCCTAACTTATCACTTGTAAGGTCAGTCTTAAACTGGCTGTTCTGTGTAAGAGGAGCGATGGATGGAAATTACTGCTTAACATGGCCCTTAGGGTTCACTCACCTGGCTCTTCTACCACATAGAGAATGGACTTTCCACTCGAGTCTTCATAGTACTGGAATCTGACGACACAGTCATCCTCATTCTTGTATGTACAATTCACTGCATCCTTCCCAGTATCCTCTGAGGAAGGGAAAAAGATGGAAAAATGAAAAGCGAGTCAATTCCTGGAATATGGGGCCATCTCCAAGCCCCAGTTATGAGACTTCTGAGAAAGTATGCAACAGGAAACCCTATGCCTGACGTTAGGCAAGATGTCTAGATTTGAGATGGCCTGGCAATTACCTCTAGATGACCCTCACTTCTGTACTTTGTCCCTCACAGGCCCTTTTTGGTTCTTATTCCTTCCTCTGGAAGGGACATGACATAACACATTCCACGGTCTGATTCAAAGCCCGGCCCTCCCACCTGCCAGCTGTGTAATACTAGGGAAGTTACTTGATCTCATTGGCTCTCTCTTTCTTCATCTATAAAAGGAAAATGATACCCCACCTCACAAGGTTGGTAGAGAACTAAATAGCATAAAGTAAACAGTACCTAACACACAGTGGGTGTTCCCTTCCCTCTCTTTCCCTTCTCTGCTTGCCCAACGATTCTTAATAATTCATTGACTCAGCCCTTATATTTCTTCCATTTCTGCTTCTGATCCAGTGCTCCTCTCAAGCCATCCCTTCTTCTCGGACTCCCATCATGTTTTGTAGGCTTCATCCCTTCTGATTCTGAAACCTCTTATTCTGACAGGGAAACGATAAGTACCCCTCCATCAGCTGCACTATATCCTCCAGTGATGAAGCCGGATGGGTAAAACTGACACATGATGAGGTTAAGCAAATGTCCCAAGGTTGCACCACAGGTGCATGATGGAGCAGGACTAGAACTTGAGTCTCAGAGCACATCCTACAGACTTGAACCCAACAGGCCTTCAGAAAACCAGTGGTATAAGAGTACAATGGAAAGGGTAAGGATTTCCAGATTTAGTTCTAAGCTTAACTTGTTTGGGCAGATTATGTAACTTGCCTGAAATTCCATATCCTCATCTGTAAAATGAAGATAACAGTACTACAGTTCTACTTTACTAGGTTGTTGAGAAAAGGATAAGATGGTGGGTATGAAAGGGCACTTTCATAACTTTTATAACTCATACAATTCCATACAAACAAGCATTCATTTTTATGATTATCATGGCATGGGGGGAGGAGGTATGAGAAATACTTAATCAGCTAACCTGTGATATCCATCTGGTCTAGGTAATAAAAACATCTCACATTTCTCTCAGCAGTTTCTCCCCACTGAGCTAATCATAGCATACACCCAGTCTCTTCCAGAGGAAAAGCTGTGTCTTCAAACTCAATCCCCAAATCACTATCCTCACTCCCAGCCCCACCTCTAATATTAGCCAAAGGGTCCAGAGATCTGACCCTTTCTGTAAAACCCCAGCCAGAAGCTGACTGTGTCTTACTATGGCTCTCACTAAAAAACATGTTTCCTGCCTTCATGGGAGATGGCTATCTCAGGAGAGATTACCATCTCCCTGCTACCAGCCAATGCCTAGCTGATCCAGATAATCATATCAGATGTGCTGACAGCAGCAAAGATTATCTCCTTTTAAGTCAAGGTAAAGTACAAACCAGAATAACTGCAAGCAAGAGTTTCGCTCCCCACTGTATTTTTATCTGTCTTATTCCAGGAAGGGCTCCATCATGAGTTTAACTACAAATCCATAAAGGTAAAGGTTTCCCTCCAAACCAGCAAAGCAGTATGCCTGGGCACTGTTTAACACTCTTCGTTAAGTAAACTCAGTAAATGCTTTACTAGCTTCCTAAAATGATGCCTGTCACTCTGTGCCTCAGTTTCTTCATCTGTAAAATGGGATGCATTGTCTTCTTTTCCTTGAGGGGGTAAAGTTAGGGTCTGAAATCAGGCATACTTTAAAAGTTATTTATAGGATCTTGCTGAGTCTGTGGGTGCTGGGAAGCAGAATGGGGAGGGACTGTGGAACCAATGAGTAGAGGTGCAAGAGGACTCAGGGAAGCCAGCTTTTATGGAGTGCCTAGCAAGCATCAGGTCCGCACAACATGCCTTTGAGGTGGGAATTATTCTTCCATGTTACTGATGAGAGTTGAACAGTTTCTGGGGTTAATTGCACAATTTTAGAAGCTGTGTTTGTGTGTGTGTGTGTGTGTGCACGCAACTCTGAGATACACTGAACTTACTAAGTTCCTTCACAGACTCGATCTCATCACGACAGTAACGGTGGCAGGTATTGTCCTCATGGAGGGCTCCTCGGTCAAATTTCTTACACTCCACACACTCCCTAAAAGAGAGAGGACACAGAGATTAAGACAAGGGAAGAGCAAACTTACAAGGCTTCAGTCCGGCTCAGACCTCCACACACCAGAAAGCTGCTCCACCTCAGAAAACAAACAGCTGTACCACAATCCCGGGGGCCCAGAGGGTCCGGTCTGTGAGCTCAGGGTGGGAGGCCTGGCAGGCAGAGGGCCCCAGCACCATCATTAAACTTCCTCATGGCCCAACCGAGAGTATGACAGGAAGTGAAGCCTATGCCAGACTGGGGAGCCTTAAAGGCAGAACCGGTCATGTAATCTGGTTGCCCAGTGCAAAGGCAAATGTCAGGTCCCTTGTTTAAAAATGACTAAGAGGGCACCTGGGTGGCTCAGTTGGTTAAGCGACTGCCTTTGGCTTAGGTCATGATCCTGGAGTCCCTGGACTGAGTCCCGCATCGGGCTCCCTGCTCGGTGGGGAGTCTGCTTCTCTCTCTGGCCCTCCCCCCTCTCATGTGCTCTCTCTCATTCTCTCTCTCTCAAATAAATAAATAAAATCTTTAAAATAAAATAAAATAAAATAAAAATGACTAAGAATTACAAGACAGGGCCAGCAGAGCGGTAAACCAAGTGCGGGGCTCTTCTACGCACGGGGCGCTGTACAGATGCACAGGTTTCGCACCCCAAGAGTCCAGCCCTGCTTAAAGTGGCCAGAGAAATGGCAGGAGCATCCCCTGACTCCCAGATGAGTGAAGTACATGCTCGTGACCTTCTCCCGTCTCACAGTGTCCTTCATAACTGCAGCCCCACATCTCCCACAGAATCAGAATATCAGCACAGGAACATTCCCCTGGAAGCTCTCCGGTTCAGCCTTCCTCCCAACTCAGGGATTCAGGGTGCCAGCCCAGGAGAGCGGGTTTCTCCACCTGGAGTCCCCAGGGTGTTACTTTGGCCCCTGCCTGGTTGGCTCCCCCTCCAACGTTTCCCCACCTCTTCAGCGGAAAGAGGAAAGCTAGCCTCTTAGCCGCAGGGGACTCTTCCTCCTAAAGCTCTGGTGAGTAAGGGACAGACCCTGGAGGAGTGGGAGGGCGGTGGATTCCAGCCTGGGGGACCCTCTCCCTCCTGCCAGCACCCCGCTCTCTCCAACTCGCTTCTCAGCCCACTCACTTCTTAAAGGTGCAGGCGTCGGGGCAGGTGGGGCACTTCTCGCAGGTGTCCCCGTAGGAGCCGGGCTGGATGCACACGCAGCTGCCGCACTCACACTTGCCACGGCCGCTGCACAGCAACCCGTTGCTGGACATGCAGGTGTCCGTGCGCGTGGTACAATTGCAGTAGTAGCCAGTCCAGTCTGAGTCACACAGGCAGTCCCCACAGCTGCACTGGCCGTGGCCTGCAAGCACACAGCCCGAGGGGGCGGCAGCAGGTGAGGGTCCCCACCTCCCCCCGCCCTCCTCCTGTCGCCCCTCGTCAGCACCGCACTTCTGTGCTTTCCCTCCATCCTCCCCGGGCCAAATCCACTGCCTGCCCTGTGTTCTCCTGGCGTTTACATGGGCCTTTATTTTAACCCTTACGATCAGCCCATTTGCCTGCCTATCTGTTTCTCCTTCTAGACTGTGAGCTCCACGATGGGAGAGGACGTATGTTTGTCCGCAGGGAGTGATTAGCATAACATCTGAAACACAGGAGGCAGGCAATTAATGTTTTGTTTATTGATCCATTTACTCAACAAACACTGCTTGAGCTCATGCTGGGCACCAGACATTCAGCAGTGAACAAGACAGGCAAGGCCCCTGTGGCCCTGGAGCTTATGTCCTAGCTAAATTCCTGGAAAACGTACACGTTCAGCGTGTGCCCTGTGCTTTATTAGCAGAGTATTGCAAAGAACCAGCAGTGCTAGTAGGAAAGAGCTATTCACTTTACTGCAGGAGTGTAGGAATGGGAGAGAGGGGCCTGGGGTGGGGGTTAGGTTGGTTAAATGCAGGTTTTAACTCTTGGTGCTACATCCCCCTAATTACTTAACAAGGCTTGAAAACTTGGCTCCCAAACTCAGAAGAAAAGGTGACTCATTCTCAAGGATTCTGAATCAGGAAGAAGTGGATGAATAATAAAAATCTGATTGTTTATCAGAGGAAAGGCAAGGAGCAAGGGGGAAGTAACCTCAATTGGTCTGAAAACCACACCACTTGTGTGAGAAATGGGCCCCAAGATGGTGGAGGAGAGGGAGGTGCATGGGCAGGCTCAAACGGCCGCTAGCTGGCACCTTCAGCATCCCAGTGACAGCCAGGCGAGCGGGGCCCCACAGTGTCCACTACACCCAGCTTTTAGTGATGGCTCCCGGACAGGGAAAGGCCGACGCCAAGGGGACTGGCAGCACTCAGAGGCCTCGGCCTCCTCAGAAACCCCTGTCCCATAGTGTTCCCTTTGTGAGGCCCAACAAAGTGATCTTTGAGAAGACGGTCTGCCAGGCCAGCCCGAGTGGCAGGCTAGAGCCAGCAGGCCCTGGCAGGGTCCACCCAAAAAAGGAAGCCACAGTGTGGTAATGTCACAGGATGGGCACCCCGCCAGCCAAAGGGTGGCTGAGCCTGGGTTCACAGGGAAGTCAGAGGAGGGCGGTGAGGAATGAAGAGAAAGTGTAAGAAAGAGGAGGGAAATAGGAAAGAAGGCAGCAGGGGAGGGGTGGAGATGAGGGAGGGGGAGGGGAAAGGGAGGAGCAGGCCTTTCAGGTCCTGTGGAAGGCAACCACTCTCCCTGAACAGCTTGACCCTCTGGGCTGATGCTTAGCTCCTCTCCCCTGCTTTATGAGCCAGCCCTTTGTTTGACATCCTACTTCCTCCATGAAGTCACCCAGGCTTCCTCTGCCTACAGTGAGTCTCTCTCCAGTGGACTCCTATAACTATTCCCCAAGGATACCTCACTTCCGAGACCGGGCAGGTTCTGCCTCATGCTGTGAATTATCCTTAGGTAAGTTAATTAAGGGCAAAACTGTCTTATCCATGCCTCTTGATCCCACAACACTACAGCACAGAGCCTGGCTCAGGGGCGCCTAATCAATCTACGCTCATGGATGTGGCAGGTGGGGAGTCCCTTGAGGACAAGGATGCACTCCCTGGTGTTTGAGGCAGGGGTGCTGATAACATGTAACCACAAAGGCCATACCCCGGTGGGGAGGGGGGAGGGGGAAGGCCAGAGGCTGGGGAAATAGCCAAGTGGTAGCGTGCCACCCTCATGGGCCACGGCTTGTGGCAAAGAATAGACCACAGGCCAGCAGCTCTGGAGAGAGACAGTGGTGAACAGGTGTATAAGCTGAGCAGTCAGGAATCAGGCATGACCCCTGTTCACCCATTTGGACTGAGTGCCTGGCACAGAACAGGTGTTCAATAAGTATGTGTCCCTGAGTATCTGTCCCTGGAGAGTGTGATGGTGGCACCACAGGATCTAGGCCCGAAACCAGTAGGCACACAACACTCTGGCTGGAAGCAGTGGGGGGGAGGCCTCTCAGAGACTACAGTGGCTGCCTGGGGTTCCCTCATGAATTAAGCTGGAGCACACGGGGGACAAGCTGTTCTTGCACTGGTAGGAGGCAGGAAGCAGGCTGCTGACCCAGGCAGCTTTGTTTTATGGCTTCGGGGCAGCCAGCAGCTGAAGGAAACCCACTCTGGATGGGATCCCTCCCACAGGGCGTCACACCAGACCAGGAACCACGAGGCACAGAGGAGGAGTAGACCTCCCTCTGTCCTTGGTGCCCCCGAGGGGCTGTCTGTAGGCCTTTCCTAGGACAACCCTCTCCCCATGGTCTCCCACATCAAACTTAACCAATTCCCTTTGGCACTTTGAATACGATGTAAGTACTATTAAGTATTACAATGAGCTGAAATTCCTGCCTCACCCTCTAACTCAAACTGCTGTTTGTGTGTGTGTTGGTGTGTACCTGATCTCTCTCTCCCTATCATTTCTCTCCCATCTCTCGATCTCTCACTCAAATTTTGTTGGCTTGAGTAAAGGAAACAATGTTGCAGATCATAAAAACAAGCCATTTTTATGTTACTAGGGCATGTTTTAGAATGACACAGATTCACCTTTCTAACCAAGCTTTCTTAGACTGATGTTAAAGTGAACACCTAGGTAGATTAGCTCAGCTCATTAAGCCCCAGTGCAAAGGAAGCCAATCTGAGTCATAGATTAGATCACCATAGAAGCCAATTATAATCTGTTGATTGGCTACACAATACACCCAAAAACCAATCCCAGCCAGTTTGCAAATGTCTTCGATCTGTCACAAGAGGGATCAAACCTCAGTGATCATAGCGCAGCAAAAACCTCTCCCCAGTGCCCCAGGAACTACTCAGACATGCTGACTCTCAGGATAAAGACTAACTCACATTACTTTGATTTCTTCTAGCTGGAGAAGCATCCTAGGAGTGGTCTTCCGGGCAAGGAAAAACCAGCTTGAGATTTTCAATGGGCCTCAAGATTTTACAGAATTTTGTCATGAGAAGGACAAAACCTCAGTATCCTGCAGGTAGAAGGACTTGACATCGTAATCCTCCATCTGTAGGCTGGACCCCTCAATGGCAATGCTTTCTAATTTATGGGCTGTCCAGCGTGCCAGCCACTAGCCACATGTGGTTCCTGCGCAAAAGAGGAACTGATGTTTTCATTTTTCACTCCATTTAAATTTATTTAAATTTTGCTTAAGTTATCATTCCATTTGATGAATTTAAATTTAAATAGCCACATGTGGCTACGACACTTGACAGCACAGACCTGGGACAGTAGTGCCCAGAGTGATAACAAAACAGTGCTGACATATCATCGGAGCTTGCACTTTTCCCGCCATCATTCCAAGTGTCTGGGCTCCTTACATGTGCTCCATCGTCTCGCTTTTTTTACTATTGTCCAAGTCTCATGATGAAAAGACAAATTCACGTAAAACAAATATTGCTGGGGCGCCTGGGTGGCTCAGTTGTTAAGCGTCTGCCGTCGGCTCAGGTCATGATCTCAGGGTCCTGGGATCAAATCCTGCATCAAATCCTCTGCTCAGTGGAGAGCCTGCTCCTCCCTCTCCCACTCCCCCTGCTTGTGTTCCCTCTCTCGCTGTGTCTCTCTCTGTCAAATAAATAAAATCTTAAAAAAAAAAACAAAAACAAATATTGCTAACTTTGCTAGATAGTCTGATAGCATATATTCTCCAAACCTGTAACTACCAAAAATCTAATTACCATCAGTCAGTGATTTTTTTTTTTCTTACCTAAACATAGGGGTTGGTCCCTATCCTCGAAAGGATTAGGAACCAGTATTAGAAGGGCAAGTGAAAGAAAAGAAGAAAACTGCCTTCACCTTCGCGCTTCCCCACTCAGCCCCAAGCTATTCTAGGAGGGGAGTCCCTCGGAGCCCAAGCTCACTTCCGCTTCTGTGTGTACCCCAGGAGCAAGGACTTGGGGAGCTGGGAGGGGTTAAAGAGAACTTCCTTCTGCTTTCTGCCGTGGGAGCGGAGCACCACCAACACCATCCACTCGGCTCTGCCTGCCCGGCCTACCCGTGGCCACCCGAGCCCTGGCTGGAAGTTTCCAGGGGCCACAGATGCGTGCGCGCGCGCGGCGACGGGGACGGGAGCGCGCGCGGCGACGGGGACGGGAGCGCGCGCGGCGACGGGGACGGGAGCGCGCGCGGCGACGGGGACGGGAGCGCGCGCAGCTCTACTCACCCGAGCACATCTCCCCCTTGTAGCGGACACAGGAGAAGTCATCACACTCGCAGTACTTGCCCGTGATCTTGCCGAAGTCGCTGCTGTGGCAGACGCACTGGCCGCACAGACACTCGCCCCGCTGGCTGCAGGCGGGCTGGCCCTCCTGGGGGCTGCACTCGTCCTGCTGGGAGGGGCGGTAGTCCTCCTCCGAGCACTCACACTGGGATCCCAGCCAGCCAGGCCCGCAGCGGCACACCCCGCACTCAAACGTCCCATTGCCATGGTTGCAGCGGTCGCTGGCAGTCTCGGCCTGGGCCTGGCATTCACAGTCACAGTCGAAGGCGACCTGGACGGTGAGGCTGTCTTTGAAGCCCACGGGCTTGATGGTGAAGGACTTCTCCTTCTCCTGGGGGCAGCCGCGCACCTTGGCCTCAATGCTGAAGCTCACCTGGGAGGAGAGTACGATCGCATTCAGACGCGGGTGGACCTGGACACTTTTAACGCTCCAGCCCTGGAGAGAAAGAAGCTGGGCCCTGCCCTGCCCTGCCCGGGGAGTAGCCAAACTGGGGGGTCTAACGCCCCAGCAACCTGGAGTTCCTCAGCCTCCCCACAACCCAGGTCTGCAAAGCAAAAAGAAGAGCCTGGGGACAGTTGTCCTGTTATATCCGGCTGGGTGCACAGATGTTAATTTAGTCATGAGATATGCTGGGGTTTTTTAATTCCACATATGAAATAAGCCAGCTCAAGCAGAACGGAACCTGTGATCTTATAAACATTCTGCTCTGGCCAACTAAGCTAGCTGGACTGATTACACAATGTCATATATCTTTGTAGCAAGACACACAAAGCACTATTTTGCACCACACAACCCCACATAGTGCCCAACCACAGGCTCAGGATCTACTGTTTCATTTCCATGAATATTTCATCACTTGTGCCATCATATACCTTTCCAGCCAATATTTCTTGGATAGGGTATGTGCACCTGTTCTAGAATATAGATAGATAGACATACGGACAGAGGGATAGAGATCGATATACAGATGCTGTAGATACAGGTGATATAGATACAGCTCTCCCCCTTTCTGCTTCCCTCCCTCTCACCAGCCCTTCCCCTTTAGGCAGAAGCAGAAGAGAACCAACCACTAAGGAAAGAAAGCTGCAGAGGCCATAGAGGGACTGGAGGAGCAAAATGAACGTTTGCATTCCACAAGTCTATGAGAGTGGGTGTTTGGTCTTTTTGCTTGTTCTGTTTGCTGTTGAATCGTCAGCAGCCAGAATGATGCCTGTCAAGAAGTCAGTGCTCAGTAAATACTTACAGATGACACTGTCATTGTACATTGTAGAGGAAAGAAAGGCATTACCTTGGGGGAGGTTGGAGACTGGTTAGGGACTGAAGGTAAGAAATATTTTCATTTGCAATCAACTATGCATATGCAAACAGAGGAAACCTACATGCATGTTTTTAAAAAAAATCCTGATGGTGAAGTTTATGTAACAGAGAAGTTTAGACAACAGGAGCCTCAGAGGAAAAGGTGGGCAGCTCCATGATCTCTAACCTCTCATGACCTTCAGGAAGAAGGTACAAGGAAGGGAGGGGAGGGGTGTCCACAGACACTTGGGGGTACAGACCCTGCCCAGCTCAGCCCACCTCACCGTGTCTCCAATCTTGAGTCCGACACAAGACTTGAGGCCTGGGATGACCTCATTGTTGAGACAGGTGGCGTTGAAGGACAGAGACAACTCCTCAGGGAGGTCACGCACTTCCAGCTCTACTTTAGAGCGGATTTTCTAAGCAGAAAGGGGCAAAAGAAAGAAAGGAGATGAGCTGAGAGGAAGTGGAGAGGAACCAATTTCATCCCAAGCAAATTCTATCAGGGGGCCCTGGACTCACCCCAGCAGTGCCAGATGCTGAGGTTCGCCTAGAAGCTGCCAGAGGGGAGCACCCCTAGGAACCTGTTTCTTACTATATTTCCTGCAAGACCTGCTCCTCGCTCTCTCTCTCTCTCTCTCTCTCTCTTTCTCTCTGTCCCCACTGGTGCCTGGGTGAGTCTGGATAAAATCTAAACCAGCTACACCTGCCTGCAAGCCTCATGGATGTTCAAAAAGGGAGTGCCAGCACTGGTCCCCTTGGAGAGGAGCCTTTTTTACCTAATTTTTAACCAACCTCACCTTCCCCATGGCTCAGCTCCATCTTCTCTCTGCTATTGGAGCCCTGCCCCTGTCCTTCCTCCAATTTCAGGACTCTGCTCCTTCCTCATCACCATCCCCATCCTCTCTTTCCCTTCCACCTCCTCTAAGCTCTTTACCCATTGCTCCTAACACTCTCAGGCATTCCTTTCTGAGCCATTTCTCTCTCAGAAGGCTGCATTCCTCCCAGTGCTGGCCATCAACGAGCCTCTAGAAGAATAAGAGGAAGGCAGTGAAGGCTGCATGGTGGACTAGCATCCAGGATTCCCAAATCTGAGCCCTCCTGGGTCATGCCAAGTGAGGAGGATTCTTAGCAGGCTCATTTCCAGCGCAAGACACTTACTCCATATGCATCAACGATGAGCTGAAGGACATTGCTGGAATCGGTAGACAGAATCCCCACTGTGGTCCCTGGGATGAGCTCACTGTAGTTCTAGGAAGACAAAGATGTGCAAGGCTGACTGAAGGAAGATGGTGGTCTCCAAAGGCCCTCCCCAAATCAGACTGAGGGTCTTGAAATGAAGATTGAGGGAACAAAGGGATATTTTACTTGTTACTGCCAGTAATAAACCTAGCAGTTTTTCAGCCCTGAATAAAATTCTAAAGAACCTCTCACATCCTTCACCCCCACTAATGGCTCCCCTCTGGCTCTGCAAACACCAACACACCCATCCTCCTAGGTTCAAGGTTGGAGGAGAGAAACCATAAAAAGGAATCATTAGCTCCTGGGAACAAGTTGGAGGAGGGTCTTTCCTGGTTGGGAATATTGGTCCATGGTAGTGCACGCTGGGTCCCCAAGACAGATCCACCCATCATCATAGGCCCCACTCCAGGCAGCCCTGGGGGCATAGTCACCTGGTAGAGATTGACTACATTTGCAGTTACTGCAAAGATCAAATTGATGTTTTTCTGGGATAGCTTCTCGGTCATCAGCCCCAGAGAGGGATAATCCTGTAAAAAGGGAGGACATGGAGGTTGGTTAAGAATTCACCTCTATTCACATGCATCCCTGGATTCTACACCTTAGAACTTGGCTGATTTGGGCCATGGCCCAGACAGTGATGGTGTTTACACCTTTCCACCCCATGATCAATGTGAGGCAAGGGAGTAAGTAGCGACACAAACCCAGTTGTGAACTCCAGGGATAGATGAAGAGGCAAAGGCTGGTGGTGTCAAAACCAAGCATCTCTTTCTTCCCACTAGACTTCAACGCATCCACACCAAGGAGCAGCCTCCATGAGCCAGGTACTGTCAGGCCTCATTTTGTTTTCCATTAACTCATTTAACAAACATTTATTGAATGACAAATGTATTATAGTCTCTGCTGCCAAGGAGCTCATGGTCTGGAGCTGAAGACAGGTACATATAACTACAAAACAAAGCGAAGACCCAAAGAGCGGCATCACAAGGTGATGTTGGGGCTCAGAGGAGAGAGGGCTGGGTGAGGAGCAGGAAGTAAGGCGGGAGCGGCAAAGCGGAACTCGGAGTCTTCCTACCCCTCGCTCTCCGTCCCATAGGTGTCAGGCCTCATTGGGTGAAGTTTCCTTGTTTTGTAGCTACTGACAAATGCCTCGGCCTGGCATGTGCATCCTCGTGGTGCACCAGCACGTGGTGGTCTCAGCCTTCCTTGCCAACCAGCATTCACATCTCTTCCTCTTCCACTTACCACTGAGCCAGCCTGCTCTTTCTCTCCCATGGAGTGGCCTTCTTTTTGGCAATCCTCCTCCTTCCTTAGGACCCAGATCAGGTCCCACCTTCTCTGGGAGGTCTTCCCTGACCATCCCTAGTTCATGATGAGCTTTCCTCCTCTGAATCCCGAAAGCCCTTATTGACTATGCTACCCCTTTAGCATTAATCACGCATCGTGTATTCCTGGTAGCACATCTCCTCAACTGAACTAAAAAGGGGATTACCTTACATAGTCCCTTTATCTCCCTCAGCCCCTGGTAAGGTGTCTTGCTTAGATTAGGTATCAATGATTACCACTGACTCACCCAATGCCTGGCAGTGCCCGACTTGGATAGGGCTGACACCAAGGAACTCAAGCCACAGTAGGGAAGCTGGTGAACTGTGAACATGTCCCTGGGATCCTAGACCTTGCAGGGAGCTCATGAGATCATCCAGCTCAGACTCCTGCTTTTACACAGGTGTACCATTAAGCCACCTAAACAAGGAGTTGCTGTATTGTCTTTAAGAGATAAAGAGTTCACACCTACCCCCAGATACCCAGGGTATCAGTATTCTGAGGGTCTTACATTTCTTTATGGCTTACAGCAATTAAACTCCCTTCCTCTTATTTGACCCTCTAAGGCCATAGAAAACAACTTATCAGAAGTCTTCTCAGGTATCAGCTAAACTTCTTTCTTTGAAGCTAAATGACTCGGAGCCCTTCAACCTTTCCCCACAGGAACAGATCTCTGCTCTTTTGATGATCTGTGTCTCTTTTTCCTCTGTCTTCCAATAACCACAAGTGAGCATGGTGTTCCAAGAAGAGGCTAATCTGTACAGAGGAGACAGGCAGGCCTGCTTTCCAGCTGGACCCGCAAAAGTCCTTCCGGTCCATTCTGGATGCCATGCTGCTGCTGGAGGCAGCGGAGGGGGTGGCCGCAATGACCACAGCCGGGACCACTTATAATGGCTGTGCCGTCTGTCCCCTGGATGACGGTGTCCAGCTGGCATGGGAGGCAGTGGGAGGACAGGCTGAAACAAGCCCCGCACCCTGCCCCGGGGAAGGGTTGCCATTTTCATAGTCACACAAAGGCTCTGCCTGGGTTAGGGCAGCCCTGGCCATCGTGAATTGGGACCACAGGTGGTACCAAGAATCTCACCATGGTAGTGGAGGCAGAGTAATGGTTGTCACTTCCAACGTGACACTGCCCATCATTGGGCTGGACAATGCCTGCCAGCCTTCCATCCAGCGCTATATGGGTCTTGGCATCAGTGGTAAACACCAGCAAGTGGGATGCGTCGTTCCTCCAGCCAATCTTCTCCTGTTTAAAAAAAAAAATCAGGGGCGCCTGGGTGGCTCAGTCGTTAAGCGTCTGCCTTCGGCTCAGGTCATGGTCCCAGGGTCCTGGGATCGAGCCCCGCATCGGGCTCCCTGCTTGGCCGGAAGCCTGCTTCTCCCTCTCCCACTCCCCCTGCTGTGTTCCCTCTCTCGCTGTATCTCTCTCTGTCAAATAAATAAAAAATCTTTAAAAAAAAAAAAATCAAAAGAGAGAAAGCAACTTCAGCCTTGTCATTGGTAGAAGACAAAGACCCAAGGACTTCCACGCCTGAAGGGCTGAGTAAGTCATCGTGAAGAACGGCTTCAGCCCCAGGCCTTGGAACACAAGCTGGAGCTTTTCCAATTCAAGGGTTTCTGTTCTCTTAGGAAAGGAATCTCAGCTGATTAGTTCAAGCCTCTGAAAGACACCTACCTCAACTCCAAATATAACTTTTCCAACAGTAATCACGTGGCCTGTCTAGAAACCCGCCTGCACGTGCAGAGCTGGGCGGGGCTAAAGAAATCCCATCTGAACATCTGCCCACTTTGCTAAGGTTAAGTCAACCCAGCCTTGACTCTTCCAGAGAAGGCAGGATGATGCTCTCTCCAGAAAACAGATGGGATCACTGAGGTTCAAAAAATGTCAGCTCTGGGCGCCTGGGTGGCTCAGTTGGTTAAGCGACTGCTTTCGGCCAGGTCATGATCCTGGAGTCCCGGGATCGAGTCCCGCATCGGGCTCCCTGCTCAGCAGGGAGTCTGCTTCTCCCTCTCCCGCTCCCCCCTCTTGTGCTCTTTCTCTCTCTCACTCTCTCTCTCAAATAAATAAATAAAATCTTAAAAAAAAAAAAATGTCAGCTCTGGCCAGGGGGTGATAGGAACAAAGGTTGCATATCAGGAGAAACTTATTGCTCATACTGTACAAAACTTGGCTTAGTTCCTCTTATTTCACACACAAATCCCCACGGTTGAACCACTTCCTTCCCCCATTATAATCTATGCCAACCATACCAGGTACTCCGTGCCCTCCAAACTCACATCACAGACTGTAGCCTGCATGATGGCATCAAAGCCACCCTCTGGGGCATCTCGGTTCCGCGACACACTCTGCTTCTTCACTTCTTCATTGAAGCGGGTCACCTGGTCAGTTAGCGTCAACACATGTTTGTAGCCAAACATAGGCAAACAGGTTGTCTTCATACTGGGGAGGGAGGGGGATAATTTAAGCAGGTACCCTGATGGAAGAGGCTGCATGGGGAGTGAGAGGGACAGAAGGAGGGACAAACATGGATAGCACACTGCCCAGCCCTATGCCATACAACCACAATTACCCAGACAGTTCCGACTCCAAACCCCTCCTGTCACATTGGCTTTCCCTCCAGCTAGCCTAGAAGAGAAGACAGTGAGCTGTGGAACCAGACTGCCTGGGTTCAAGTCCCAGCTCCTAGTCAAGGGACTGTAGGCAAGCTTCTCTATAAAAATGAGGACATGATTGGTCATCTCTCATAAGAGCTGTTTGAGGCTTAAATGAGTTAATTCATGAAAAGCACTTACGTCAGAGTGAGACTCGATAGTTGTTGCTATCACCTTAGGCTTAACACTTCTCTAAAGTAACAGTAACACAATGATAAAGCAAAAGTTCATCCATAACTTAATGTCCATGAACCATCAACAAACTGATAGATCTGCGCTGGATGGGAGCATTTCTGTCCCCGGCCCAGTGGCTTAATTGATGGCTGACACCTTTACTGGGGAAACTTTACAACTCAGACAGGTTGAAAGGGTACATCATATAATTATGAAAACTAAAAAGTAAATTTGTATATTGTCAGGCTCAATAACCATCATTTTAAATTATTATACTCCATGCATTTTTATAGTCTCCACCAATTAAATAAATAAGCCATTCATTCAGTTGTAAGCCAAAGTGTCAACAGAGGTATACTCAACAATTTTTGAATTTATTAGAAGGTTCGATAAATATCATTTCTACTCTTTTTATATTCCTCTAGGACATAATGCCTTGCATTTTAGCTCTGTACGTCTCATACTCTGGATGATGAGGAGGACAATGGAATCAATCCTTCTGAAATCATAATTCCTCTATTTACTTATCCATAAATTTCTCTCTACTTTTTATCTCATTTCCCTCCCATTCTCTCTAATCTCCTACTTATTTGTGACCAAGGCCAAAAGGCGATTAGTTTTCTTTCTGGAAATTTTCCACCCTTTCTAAATGCCCATCTGTCTAATCCTCTGGGTCCCAAGGGTCATAGAGGTTTTGGCAATTACTAACACTCCAAACAGCCTTGGATTCTATTGACACAACACTCCAGATCCACAGGCCAGCTCACTTGCCAGACAGGAAGCCCAAGGTAGAAAGGAGGTATGATTTGGCCAGATGGCCACAACAAAGCTATCCTAGAGCTAGAAACAGGAAGCAGAACTTGGACTTGCCTGAGACAAAGGGGAGGAATGCTGCCCTGGCTTCTACAGGAGGGACTTACTCATAGCAGGGGTTTTTGAGGGCCTCTGGTGGGGAGATGTACATGTATGGTGACATGGGCTTGTCCACGAAAGCCCCGAAGCCAATCCGCAAGTTACTGGTGAGCTTGTGCATCTGGGAGGCCAGCTTGGTGCCTAGGTTCTGGATGCTTGACAGATCATCCTTCATGGAGTAAGACAGGTCCATCAAGTAGTAGATGTCCACAGGGTAATCCTCCACTTGCCGGACTTGGATGGAGAAATTCTTTGAATCATCTGGAAGCCAAGAGGATGTTAGTTTTTCTCCTTTTTCTCCCTCTAAGACTTCATAAGTGGATTTGGACACAGTTGAGATGATGTAACTTCTTGATCAAATCAAACTTGAAAGCCCTGGTTCCTTCTCCTCTCCCTTTGCCATTCTATTCCTCTTCCAACTGCTTAATCCTCTGATTATTAACCTCTTTTTTTTTTTTCTATTCTAAAATTCTCTACCCTTTCTAAATGCCCATCTGTCTAACTCTCTGGGTCCCAAGAGTCACAGAGGTTTGGCAGTCACTACACTTCAGATGCTGTAAAAGGCAGGAACTCTGTCCCATCCTTCTCTGAATCCCATAGCTCCCATCAGATGCTTTGCACAAGAAAGGGACTTGGTTAAATCTTCTTGATATAATTGGAAAGTCTAAATCAAAGCTTCAAAAAGTCTGTCCCATAGCCTAATCCTTCCTCCCCTGAAGGTCTCCTGACCCTATATTCTCTCTTGGTGCCCCTGCCCCAATCTCACCTGGAAAGGGGGCTTACAATTACAAATTGCTTTCTCATCTTTTATCTCATTCAAGCCTCAACACAAAGCTACCAATTTAGGTAAAACAGGCATTGGGGGAAAGAAGTAATAGACATTTTGTTGAGTTCCTACTATGTTAGAAAGACTAAGTAACTTGCCCAAGGTCAAACAGCTAATCTATGGGACAGTTAAAATTCAAACTCAGATCTTCTGATTTCAGGTTCCACTACCTTCCATTTTCCTGCATTATCCGGCCCACACTGCCCCTGACATCCTTCTCTTCCCACCTCATTTCCATTGCAAGCTACTTCCCCAAGGTTCAGGCCTCCACCTTGTGCCCTATGCCCATCTGTCCAGGGTCTCTCTCTGAAAAGAGCCCCCTCCCTACCTGGCCGAAGCCGGAGTGCAATCCTCTGAGGGGTGACTTGAGTAATCTGGGAGCTGTCTCCGGAGCCCTTGTCGCTGAGGGGTCTGGCCTCCAGGATGTGGGCCTCACTGATGGGGAACTCGATGGACTCCAAAGCACAGTTATCCTTCAGCAGATTCTCCTTCAGATTACAGCGGGGAGTGCCCAAAGGCAGGGCCTGTAAGACAGGAGCCCCAGGTGAAGCCCTGTGGTTGGAGCTCTGCGGCTCTCTGCCTCCTGCAGGCTTGGCCGACTCCCAACAGCCTCCAGCCCACCCAGCCCACCCTCTGGAGCTAAGTCAGCAGAAGTGAACTCAGGGTGGTCCCTCCTAAGATAGCCCATTGTACAGAAGGGGGAAACTGAGGCACCAGAAAGGTTGGGCGAGTGCCTGTTCATGGATTGGTAGTTAGGAAGAGGGTCAGTATTATAAGATGCCTGTTATACCAGCAGTTTTCAAACTGAAATGCACCCCACATGTGAGTCCCCAAAATCAGTGTAGAGGGTCTCAGCCATCAATTTATTCAATAAAATGCAACTGAATAGAATAGAAAGTGTTAACACGGGCGCCTGGGTGGCTCAGTTGGTTGGGCGACTGCCTTCGGCTCAGGTCATGATCCTGGAGTCCCGGGATCGAGTCCCGCATCGGGCTCCCTGCTCGGCAGGGAGTCTGCTTCTCCCTCTGACCCTCCTCCCTCTCATGCTCTCTCTCATTCTCTCTCTCTCAAATAAAAAAAAAAAAAAGAAGAAAGTATTAACACATATAAATAGTAAAAGTAAATACTGTTTCGTGAAACATTTATATATTCTGAGTTGGATATAATACATGCAGATATACAATGTATTTCTTTCTCTAGGTCAGGGTCAAACAGGTTGGAAGCCACTATGTTAAGCACTGGCTGGGGTGTGAGATTCCTGAGGGCAGGAGCTGTCCCCTCTCTCTTCCCAGCACCCACCCCAGGAGTCACCACAAAGGTGGGAGGGGGAGCAAGGACTGGGAGGCAGCAGAGTTGGAGCTAAGAGCATAGCAGCAGACTGGCAGAGACTACATCTCAGCATTGCCTCTTGCTAGCTGGTTCCTAGGGCATGTCACTGAAGCTTCCTCAGCTATAACATGAAGATAATAAAAGCCCACACTCACAGGGATGTTATGCAGGACTAAATAAGACAATGCATATAAAGATTTATTTATTTATTATTTTAGAGAAAGAGAGAGAGTGGGGGGGAGGGGCAAAGGGAGAGAACCTCCAGCAGACTTCTCCCTAAGTGCAGCTCAGGGCTCCATCCCAGGACCCTGAGATCATGACCTGAGCCGAAATCAGGAGCCGGCCACTCAGCTGACGGGGCCACCCAGACGCCCCAAGACAATGCACATAAAACCCATAGTTTAGTGCCTGCTGCAGGATAAGTGCTCAATAAATAAAAGCTATTGGGTTTTTTTTGTTTTTTTTTTTTTAAGATTTTATTTATTTATTTGAGAGAGAGAGAATGAGAGAGAGAAAGCACATGAGAGGGGGGAGGGTCAGAGGGAGAAGCAGACTCCCCGCCGAGCAGGGAGCCCGATGCGAGACTCGATCTCGGGACTCCAGGATCATGACCTGAGCCGAAGGCAGTGGCTTAACCAACTGAGCCACCCAGGCGCCCAATAAAAGTTATTGTTAGGAGGTGCTCTATAAATAGCTCCTGGATAAGTTAGTTATGAATAAACTCCACAAGCTTGGGCAAATCCCATGATGCCAGGCACGGACCAGAGCCTATCTTATCACTTCACTTTAAGATTCCTCTCTCACCGTGGACATATGGAGTCCCTTCCAAACACCCTGGTGTATATCTCACGGTTCTCCAGAGCTCTGTGTGTGTCTACACCTGAGCACTGAGTAGGAGGCATGCTGCTGGAAAGAAAGCCGGAAACAGGCTCCATCCTGGGTCTACCACTAGCTAGCCTTGTGCCCTCAGACTCATCACTTCACCCCTCTGAGCCTTGGTTCTCTCACCTGTTGGGTAAGGGGGTTAAGGTGACATGGCATTTTCAGCCCTTCCCTGCTCTGACATCCAGCACATTGAGCCAGCACTGTGTGGGCACAGTCCATGAGAGTTCCTTCCTTGCCAGGTTGGGGGTACTGGCCAGAAAGCTGGAAAACTCTTCCCTGGGCCTGTTTCACAATATTTAGGCCTTCAGGCTCTCAATCTTCGCCTCCATCCCTACCTACCCCCTCTCACAACCGTTTCCAGAAGTCAGCTGAATAACCCATACCAATATCCCAGGAAAACTGGTGGGTTTTTTTTTTTTAAGATTTTATTTATTTATTTGAGAGAGAGAGTGCAAAGCAAGAGAGAGAGAGAGAGAACATGAGTGGGGGAGGGGCAGAGGGAGAAGCAGACTCCCCACTGAGCAGGGAGCCTGATGCGGGGCTCGATCCCAGGACCCCAGGATCATGACCTGAGCCGAAGGCAGACGCTTAACCAGCTGAGCCACCCAGGTGCCCCAAAACTGGTGTTAACATTTATTGAAAACTCACTGCATGTCAGTCTCTGTGAAAAGTGGTTTATGTGGATTCCTGCAACCCTCCCGCTTACAGTTCTCTCATGCTAGAACTATTATTATTATTTTACAAGTGAAAAACCTGAGGCTTGGAGGCTTCACAAATGAGGAAGCCCATCTTACAAGAAAGATATCTAAGGCTTGGAGAAGTTAAGTAACTTGCCCAAAGTTCCAGCGCTAAGAATGGCAGAAGTGAGGTGCTAACTAGATTGTCTGACTGAAATGATCCTCATAAAATGATAGTTTGTATTAAATGCTGTGTAGAGTGAGAATCGAGGCAGAGAAACAGAAGTATACAAGCAATGGCCCCACAAAGACCACACCTGAGAATGCCCAGTTAGGGAACAGAAGGCAAGATGGGGATGTGGAAGATATGGGAAGGACAGAGAACGTTCTGCCTCCTTAGCCCCTGCAGGTGACTGGTAGCCATATTTCCAGGGGAGGGATTTGGCCACAAGGAACCATCCATGCTCAAAAAATCAGGACTCCATAGCCTAAAACCCCTCCTGATACCCAAAGTCTCTCTCCCTCTCGTGCCCAGCCCTTGTCTGATAGGCTGAAAATCTTACCCAGGTGGGTGGGAACAAGAAGACCAACAGTGCTATAGACCGAATGTCTGTACCCCCCAGAATTCAGATGTTAAAGGTATTAGGAGTAGGGCATTGGGAGGTAATTAGGTCTTGAGGTGGAGCCCTCATGATGGGGTTGGTGCCCTTAGAAAAGAGGTCCCAGAGAGCTCCCCGGCCCCTTCCACCATGTCATAGCAAAAAGACAACCACTATGACACAAAATTTGCTGCTACCTTGATCTCGGACTTCTCAGCCTCCAGAACTGTGGAAAATAAATGTTTGTTCTCAAGCCACCTGGTTTATGGTATTTTTGTTATAGCAGCCTGAATAGACTAAGACAAACAGCATGAGGACTCTCCTGGGCCTGGGGAAAAAAGCTTCTGGAAGCCAGCAGCTTCCTTCTTTCCCACTCAGCTTCACAAGTATGAGGTGGATAAATGGCATCAGCAATGGGAAACAGTGCCTAAGACTTAACCTTCTTGGCTCAAAAGATTCCAGTGGGGACATCACGCATCCTCCAAGTCTCCAAGGGAGATGAAAATGCCCTCCCTGTTCCCAGCCCTGGCCAAGGACAGAATGGCAGAGGGGAGAACTTGTGGGCTCGTGGAGTTTTTGTGCCCAAAGTGCTCTTGCTGCCCCTGCAGGGCTCTCCCAACCCTTCTCCCTCAGAAAGCAGTCTCCTACTCACAGCACTCCCTAGCTTATCTCTGATTCCAACTGCCCACAAAGCCCTGGGGAGAAAACCTTCCAAAAAAGGCAATGACTGGATAGACCAAGATGCATGGAGGAGCTGATCCTTTCCAGGACTAAGACAGATACTGAAGGGGAGAGAGAAGGGGAGACCAAGAGGCTGAACGACAGCAGCAAGGCCACTGTGTATCTTTAAGCTGCATTGGAGAAGGGAGAGAATGTTCTGGAGGGGGTTTCCTGACTCCCTGCTTCCTAACATGACAGTGCTTATTACAAGAAGGTTTGAAGTGCTAAGCCCTGCTGACAGTCCTTATGCTTTGTTATGAATTTCCTTAGAAATATAAACACTAAGAAACAAAAACTCCCTCCCTCCCTCTATGGTCACTGACATCAGAGGTCAGGAACATAACAGGCCTGCTCTTCAGTCATGCTCTCCCTGAGAGCCTTCTGTCCCAGAAAGATACCAAGGCAGTGACCTCAACACACTTGGGCAACATTCCCTTTCTTAATAACCCAGACTGGGAAGGTAGAGGAATGTCTCTAGGTTACTCAGAGAAACAACTGGAAGGAGGGAGGAGGAATGTTAAAGTCCTAGTTCCAAGTGAAACCGGATGTGACACAAAAAAGGGCAGAAATAACCAAGACCCAGGGGAAGATCCTGAGCACAGAGGTGGGAGGTTCTAGCCCACGCATGGTGTGAGCTGAACCCCCTCCCTCTCCTGGGAGAGTGATGCATGCTATTAGTTCCATTCTTCATTCATCCCATTTTGGACATTGGGAAAGTAAAGCATGAAAAACTGTCATTATCCTATCTATCTCACAGGCTTAGTCAGGGGGTCAAATAAGACTGTGAACACGAAATGCTTTCAAAATATGAAAAATCTCGATATAAGTGAAATATACTCAAATCCTTTTGATAGGACATAAACAAATAAATGTATATAGAAGCTGACTCTTTTCTACTATTACCATTAAAATTACTACGATTATTGCATACTCTTTTCTCGGAGGACAAGGGGCAGTAGGGTCTGCTACTTATTTTTCCCCCAGAACACCTCCAACCAAAATAAATTAACATTGTCTTCTTGATGGACATCCAGTGAGGACAAGAAATTACAAGAGCATGCAGAGAAGTGTGGAAGGGACAGAAAGAAGGAGAAGAAAAGAAAAGCACTTTGATTTATGGTTATTGGTATCCATACCCTCTTGTATATGGGAGGGAGCACTTTCAATGTTATACTTTTATTTTTACAATAACAAGTTGAGCAAAACTCTCAAGATAAACACTTAAACTCTGGATTTAAAAAAAATAGAAAGAAAAAACAGCAGAGAAGTGAGAACAAAATTATGTTGTGACTAAAAAGGAATTAAATAATGGCCCCACACCTGTCCCCCACAGATGCAGAGAAGAAATACGTCACTCCTGTTGGAGTCTTCTACTTGGCTAGACCCAAACCCATTCTTCTTTGTTCATCCTTGGCTGTCAAGGCCAAGTGTGAGCTGGTACACCTTCTGATGTGTACTCAGGACTGTGTAAGAATTCCTAGTATTTCCCTCCATCTTAGAGTCGCCAAATTTAGTAAATATTTGGGACATACTTATATCAAAACTTATTTGTTGTTTCATTCAAGTTTAACTGGGTGTCCTATACTTTATCTAGCTGCCTTAACTCCACCTCCTTCCACCATGACCCCAGATCAGCCCCTTTGATCAGCAGTATTTGCCAAACTTGCTATCATAACAACCCATTCCGATGCAAAAGGTCTGGGATCCATCCTGGGAACCTTTCTATTTAACCAGCACCCCAGGTGATTCTTACAACCAGGCAAGTTTGGAAGGTTCTAGATTCCAACATGGCACCAGTGAGGCCCAAGACCATGAGTTGAATCTCTGTGTGATCTTGGCCTCTTCGCTACATTCACAGCCCAGAGGCAACAACCCCCTCCCATATCAGTATGTAACCCCATCCCCTATGCAGATGGGCCCAAAACTGCACTCATCCACTTTGGCTATGTTTTCCTATGACCGGGCCAAGCACTTGCTATACACACCCAGAGCTGCTGTCCTCTAGGACCAAGGAAAAGCTGAGCCCAACCAGTTGTTTTTCCAGACACTGCCAACCCTGCCTGAACAGCCACGGTAGGGGAGGCAGAAGCAGAAGGCCCTCTAGGGTCAATTATTCAACAAGTCACATTCAAAATGGCCCAGGCAGTTCACTTCTGGTTTTTTAAGTCAATGGCCAAGACACTTTCAGCAATTAAACTTGGCCTATGCAGGGGAAGCCCTCAGGAAAAGAAAAAACAAAAAAACAGCAGTCATGTTCAGGTTACGGCCCAGGATTCCCACCTCCCACTCCTCCTCAGAGGAGGCTGGCTGACACGCTTTGCCCCACACTGGGCTCCTCCTCTATCTCTCCTCCCCTCCTCCTCCTTTCCCAGAGATAGTTGTAGTCATTCACTAAACTCGTGGCTTCCCCCACTTTCCTGTTTATATTCCATGCTCCCAGAGAATATCTTATTGGACCTTCTACTTCTACTCATCAGTTTTCTTTGGTCCATGATGCACCCATTTCCTCTTTGACTCACCCCACCCCCTCCCCCATCATTCCTAGGCAGGTCCCACCTTACGCTTTGATCCTACCCTGCACCTTCTCCCCCATGTCCTCCCCTGGTCTGCCCCAGAGGACAAAATACACCCTGGTCATCTATAAATCTTCTACACTTGCATCTCCAAAATCTGGTCACATGGCTTTGTCTGGTTGGGCCTCCACATACCTCAGCTACAGGGCTGGTCCCTGTGCCGATCAAAAGGTGTGACAGACACTCCAAGAGTGTGTTTTCTTTATCCCCAGACTCCGCTCAGCCACACTTGCCTGCGTTTCCTCTCACTCTGGGTTGAAAAGGAGAGAAAAGGAACGGGGAGCATCTTTGGAGTGACTCTTCTCCCCTGGCTACCCATCTGCTCCAGCCAGCTTCAGGCCATCCAATCCAAGAAGCTCTCCCACCTTCGAGGATGCAGTTGCAGAATTCCAGCTTCCTTACAAAAGCAGCTTAACAATATTATGATGGCAACAAGGGAAGGAGGATATGGCAACTGAGAAGGGAGGAGGCCACCTCACACTTGAGTGGCGAGCTCAGCCCAGAGGGGTGGAGAACCTGTGGGGGTAGAGGGGATGGACTGACCCACCCCCTCCCCACCCCTCACTCGCAGCCCCAGGGAATGTTTCATCTGCTAAATGAAGTCAATGTGGCCCAGATGTTGGGCAGCTGCCTCTGGAAACAGTTCCCGTGCTGAACTGTACAGAGGCAGAGTAGTGTGTTGGGCTGACCTCCTGGCAATCCTCCTGTCCAGGGATAAACACAGCCTCCCAGCTCCCACTCCCTGCCCCGCCCCCCAAACACACACACCCCACGCTCCCACCAGCCTGCCAGGGAGGTTGCCTTTTTAGGAAACTCAGCAGATTGGGAAGAGAAGCAAAGAGAATGAGGAGGCTGGACTGGAGCAGTCCTAAAACTGCAGAGGGCAGAGACGTGCTGTTGTGACCAAGAGGACGTCTCAGGTAGCCCGGAAGCAGCCTGGGCCAGGAGTTCAGGTAACCACCTGCTGGAGGCCCTGGCCAATGACTCAGCCTCAGACTCTGTAATCACTGGAATCTCTCCAGCCACACTCACCCCCCGGCCCTCACCAGCTCCAAATTCCCATCCCGGCCACAAACATAGCCATTCCCTCAGACACACTCATTCCCTAGGGCCCCAGACACAACAAACCCTCTGCCTAGACACAACTAACCCCTTCCTGTCACCCTCCTAGCCTCACCAAATTGGCCCAGCACCTTCTCTCATTGACACTTAAGAGAGGGAAGGAAGGAGGAAAATAAAAGAGAGGAAAAGGTAAAGTTGTGGGGGCCCAAACTTCACAGAGGAAAAGAGAAGAGAGCCTCTGACTGAACATCCCCCCCCACCCCCCCGCCATGGAAGCTCAAGATTTCTCCTTTATTTGCCTTTTAAAAACTCTGGGATATGGGTGCCTGGGTGGCTCACTCAGTTAAGGATCTGCCTTCCGCTCAGGTCACGACCCCAGGGTCCTAGGATCAAGTCCTGCGTAGGACTCCCTGCTCTTCAGGGAGTCTGCGTCTCCCTCTGTCCTTCCTCCCAGTCATTCTCTCAATCTCTCTCTCTCTCAAATAAATAAAATCTTTTTAAAAATTTTTAAAAAAACCTTCTGGAATGTTTGTAAGCCAGCATCCCTTCTATACCAAGAACCGTCTGCTGCCTCTCATTTTGACACCTGAAGCCCTACTTCCCTGGGGCGCTCCACCCTAACAAAAAGCAAGCAAAGTGTGGTAAGGAGGGACAATGGCTACAGTGAGACCAGGAACCTAACCAAAACTGGCTCATGCTAGGGGGCCACACAGCAGAATCTGGAAGGCATTCCCAGCAACGACCCCATGACAGCTCACTTTGACATCCATCAATGGGAAGGCTTCACCCTAGCTTTACTCAGAAGGAACAAGGGGCTTGTGTATTTAACAGGAAGGAGATGCCCCTCTGGGTCCATTCCTGCACAAAAGCAGCTGAGCCTGGGGAAGCAGTAAGGTCGTATGTCTCCTTACCTCATCCGAGCACCAGGCACACACGGGACTCACAGCCAGACATTGCTGGCAGGAGCGGACACCTCGTGTGGTACAGATGTTGGACACTGCAACAGAGACAAAAGCATTAGCACCCACTTGGCCTGAAAAGGGTAACTGGCCTGCCCCATCCTTCCCAACATCCCCAAACACCCAGATTTACAGCTCTCAGATGCACACAGCAGGTCTGACCATACCCCGGACATTCACCAACCAAAGGCTGTATGGTTAGAAAGAAAGAATGAGAAAGGTCAGAAGAAACTCATCACCATCCTCACTGATGAGGCCCCAATGATGACAAGTGCTGGAGCAAGACCGAGCCCTGGACCCTAAGTGTCAGGTCATAACTGACAGAAAGGTTTTAATTAACGACTCGTTTGACACCTACGTTGTGCATAGGAAAATCTGAGGCCCAGGACAATGCAATGTGCCCTCTCTCCAATTATTCTAGTGATCGCTTCACAGCCCCTACACGGGGATCCAAGGCCCTGATGCACTAACATGAGCACACAGCCTAAATATGGTGGGGGGGTGGGGGCAGGGAACGTTCCACTGGCCAGGCAGGACAAAGCAAATCTTCTGAAACCTGCTCAAGCTTCCCAATACATATATCTTCGGGTCAAGGTGTAGAATGGTCCAGGGACAACTCCACAAATGTCAGAAAAGCCTGAGTGAGATAAGCTGGAAGGACATGGATTGGAGCTGAAAGGCCCATATTTGAATTCGGAAGGCTCTTTTTCCTAGCTGCGTCGTGACCTTGAGCAACTCCATTAACCTTTATGAAAACAGTAATATCTACTTCACAGGATTTGTGCACTTGGTACATTACAAAATGCCATTCAAATGTGAACAGTCTTCACACGGTCAAAGGACAGAGAAAAAGCTGGGGGGAAGAGCAGAGACAAAGAGAGGGACCAAAATAACCCAGAGAAGCTGAGCCAGGAAGCAAACCCCACGCACTTGCTTAGACAGAAGCTCTCATCCTCCCTTCTTCCCCCAGCCCAGGCTTCCTGGGATCAGCCAGGTAAACCTCCTCTTTCTGCAGTGCCCCCAGGAAGGCCTTTTCCAACATAAGGAACAGACTGAGGAAGATACATTCCCCCTCATGATCCAGGCCCTTCATCCAATTTTTTAAAGCAGTCCCTTTACCCCCAGCTGGTAAGACCAACAAATTTATTTTTAGGGAAATCAGCCTAATAAATGGGGTGTCTTCCAGTGCCCCCAAAACTTCTCATCAAGCTGAATGTCTCAGTCCATTTTACTATAGTGTGACTGAACTCCCTTCCAACATCTAGACAAAACATACCCAGAAAATGTGTGTGTATACACACACACACACACACACACACTATTGTCGAGAAAAATTATCCAAAATTTGGAAATAGGCAAAGGAAATACCAGGTGTCCTTTCAATGTAACGCAAGGTGTGGACAAGTAGACCCACCATACTTATGGATTACCTGATTTTCTAGGGGTGTATACCATTGTTTGACTTCTAGTGATTAGGATATTTTATAACTCTGTAAGGGTAGAGGTTACCTTGTAGAAAACCAGTAACAGTGGAAATGATTCTTGATAAGAACAGTGTATATGATTCTTGTCCAACAACAATGCAAATAATTTGGTAGCAAAGGTACCTCTGAAGGGTAGGGTTTATTGCCTTGTAGAACATTAACCAATTTCAAAACTGTCAGATAACTAATTTCAATGTTCTTTTGACCGACCAACTATAAATTTCCCTTCCCTGAATTTTCTAGAGATTTTTTTTTTAAGTAATCTCTCTACCACTGCAATCCAGAGAACCTGCCCTTGGTGGAGCTTAAGCTCACAACCTCAAGATCAAGAGTGGCACGCTCTACTGACTGAGCCAGCCAGGGTCCCCTCCCTTCCCTGAATTTTCTTTGAAACTAATCTTAACATCTTACTGCTTCCCTCATTAATTAAGTTGAATAAATACTTCGACACAAGTTCACGTTACATTTGTATGGTAATCATACTTTTAACTCTTTAAACATTACATCTTAATGATATACACCTCAGGGCCTCATTAGAGGTCAGGGGGATCTAACAGAAAGCGTAGGCGCCCAATCAATAGACTGCAGTCCTAACTGAGTCACCACTATTAATGAGGCCTTAGGCGAGTCATTTAACTCCTCTCAGCCAGTCTCTTTGCTCAACAATTCCTAACATATTACAATTATTCGTCTATCTGTCTTAACAACACTGCCACCCAATAGATTTTAAGCCCCATAGGGCCTGCCCTGTCCAGCCCAGGCCAGCCCAGGCGAGCCCCAGTCCTTGCTCAAAGCAGATGCTCCATAAATATATATTGGAGCAAATGAAGAGGCATTGGACTAGATCAGTTTTGTTTTGTTTTTTAAGCAACCGAGCTCATGTCTCCAAATTATGCATGGAATTCCAATATAAGACATGCAAATGGGTTGAAACTGTTCCTCTGACAATTTAAACTTTCATTGTTCTCCTAAAAAGACCAGAATCATATGTGGAATCCTGGAAGCCCCAGACTTCCTCAGAGCTTGAGTCTGTCTCACTTCAAAGGCCTTTCCCAACTGCACAATTCTGCAAGTGGGGTGCTGCTACCAGCCCATGAGCAGTGACCCCTGGGCCATAGCCTCTGACGTGAACTACACCCTCACCGAGCGAGCATGAGGACTGTGAGGTGGGGAATTATGGCAGCAGTTCCCAGCCTGGCTCTAAGGTTCCAAGGCCACCTCTGAGCTGGGGCAGCCCTCAGCCAGGCACTGTCTATCTATAATGGAAGAAAGGTATCCCATCTTCCCAGAGCTGCTGGCTTCAGAAGGCCTCAAGGTTCAGATCCCACAACGCACCCAGGAGGCCTCTTCCACCCCTGCAAGGGCCGCCTGGCCATGTCTCAGTTCCCAGTGGCTCTTTTCCCAGCCAGATGTGAGCATAGCCCCCCCCCCCCCCTTACTGCCTTACTGAAAGAGCTCTGAGAGGAGCAGAGCCTGAACTATTTTAGGTCTCTGCCTCCCACCTTGAAGTTTCCATGGGAATCGGCATCCAGGGGGGTAATTCTGGACATAAATGCCATCGATTTTCACTGGGGGTGGGGAGGAGCAGAAGCACAAGGAGATGTCAGGAAGAGGTAGAAGAGAGGACCATGGGAGGTATGGGCACATCAAATTATCTCTGCAAACTTTTTCCCTGTCTCTCCGTTTTTTCCATCCATTCATTCTCAAATTAGCATTTATTTGCCTATGAGTCCTTGACTTGTAGCCACAATAGAAAGCCTTGCCAGATAGGAAATAAATAACAGCAGGCCCCTCCCAGTGAATGGGCAGCCCCTGACCCCAGAAGTTGAGACAAGCTGCTGGGATTTGTTCTTTAGGGAGTCGTGTCAGCCAGTTTCCTTTACCTCCTCTCTCAGTGAATCACAGGCTGATTTCGTGTGAACCAGCCATCCCCCCGATGATAACCCCCACCAAGACCTGCCACCAAGGGCAGGTTCTCTGGATTGCAGTGGCTAAAAGTGACTGACTCATCCGAAGTCTCTACGCCTGGGCCATGCCAATTCAATGAGCTGCAGCTCTGAGGCCACCCCTCCTTCCTGAACATGTGGAAGGAGTTTGGGCTTCTGTTTCCAGTCATTCATAAGGCTATGTTTCTGCTTAGCCTCAAGGGCCCAGACTCAGCCCCGCTGGAAAAGGGGTGATCCTCATCAGAACTTTTGTCATTGAAAAGAATTAGCCACCCTCACCACCCATTTCCTCCCACGGTTTAGCCAGAGCCAGGAAACAAGGTGGATCGGCCCTGGTCCTCACAGGGTGGCTGTAGGGATTCAATGAACCGATCCCTGTCAAACTCTGGGCCCAAAGGGCGGGCACACAGGAAGGGCTCACTGCAGGCAGCTGATGCTCCAGTAGCTCTCATTGCTATTGTGTTTGCCTTCGCTGTTTTTATCCTGAGTCCCCAGCTGTTTAAGGTAGGTGGGTGTTTTGCACGATACACACGGCTGAGCGTGCCCTGAACGGGGCGGCGGTGGGAGCACAGAGCCGGCAAGCACCAGATGAGGGTAAAATGATCAACTGTCAGATCTAACTTCTAAATGGAGTCAGGAAGATTAGTGTTCAAAAATCCAACCTAGGAGGGCTGGCAGGGAGGAGGAGGCCCATTAGAAAAGCTAGATGAGACTGCCAGAAAGTTTGCCTGGACAGCAGAAGGAAAGGCTGTGGTTTGGCACATCAGCCCAAATCACAGAACCAGAAGAGAGACAAAGGATGGGAAAAATGGAGGGAAAAGGGGAGGGAACAAGGAAGGGAGTTGGAACAAGCGGAAGTCATAATGCGTCAATGAGAGCTATTTTGGGGACGTGCTGTCCAATGAGACAGGATGTCAGAAAGCAGGAACGGGCCACCCTAGTGAGGCCACGGAATTTCAGGAGAGTGCTAAGTCAAGCGGAGAGGTGTTTAGTGGGAAGGGAGGATGATGCACACTGCATATACTACAGACTATCTTCCTCTCTGCCAGAGAGGGGTTCTGGCCTGAGTTCCCTTGACTGGTCACTTCCCAATGAGGTCCATGGGGACACCGGGTGACTCAGGCCATGCCTGATCTTCCATTGCAGTCACCTGGCTGAGTGAGTCATCCAAGAACAAAACATCTCATGCTCACTGCCATATGGATTTACAAGTGGTTTCTTCTAGAGCAGGCTGCTAAGAAAATTTATTTTATTTTTTTTCCTTCATTACATGGAGCAGCAGCTCAGTAATCTAAGGAATGGGAAGGAGACAGGAGAAGTGGAGTTCAAGGCAACACATACCTCTGAGCACAAAGCTCCAATAAGCATTACTCAAAATGGCAGGCAATCCAAATGACCACATTTCACCATACCTAAGACTATGGATGTAAGATGCATCCTAATTTCAGAAATTTAAAAAAAAAAAAAATTGTTTTAAGCACATCACAGTTAAATATGGTATGTAACATCAGAAGACATTGGTGTATAATTTGCTTCTACCAATATTAAAATGTGTTATGGGTTGAATTCTGTGCCCCCAAAAAGGTATGCTGAAGTCCTAACCCCCAG